CAATCTTGCTTCCTATAATATCTTTAAGAATTATATCCTTAGCAGGCTTGCCTCAAATATTACCTCCTTCTTCTATTTGAGAAAAAATATGAGTTCTTTGATTTCATAGTTTCCAATCTTTTTTCAATTCAATGGCTAACTCAGTGTCTTCAAAATAATCTTTAATAATTCTCTCAACAATTTTTTCTAAGTTTTTTTTGCCTTCCCATTTATAGTCATACATAAGACTATGTTGAAAACAAATGTTCATAAACTGATTTCTTAATGGTTTGCTAATCAATTTCCTTAAATCTTGTTCAATATTCTTACTACAGTGAGGAAATCTCTCTCTCATGTCTATCAATATTTGATGGATTCTTTCTTAAATTCAGTTTCCTCTTGTTCACTTACTTCTTGTGGGTTCTGTAATTCAGTAATTTCTTGATCTTTATCAACTAGTTGCTTTTTTAATGATTCAATTTCATTTAATAATTATTTATTTTTCTCCTGGAGTTCGTTTATTGTGTTTGTCATGATTTTCTTTTTTTATTATTTTTTATTTCTTTTCTTTTCTTTTAGTGAGGTAATATTTAATGAATTTTATTTAAGAAAAGTTTGGAACATACCTGACTTGGTAAAATCAGGATTAACAGTTTAAGAGGCATCTGCCAGGAAATGTTACCAGAACATAGTGTGAAATCTAAAGAAGATATTGTTTAGTATTGTTTAGCAAGGAATTGTTTAACGATAGTGAAAGATAGTTTTGAAAGTAAAGTGTAAATGTATATTCACAGAAATTGTTTTATGATTTAATGTAAATGAATTGGAAGACATTGTTTTATTGTATTGACACAGAGATTAAATAAATAAATAAATTGAAACCATGAGATTTGAACATGATCTCACAATATGAGAATCAGAAAAATAAAAAAAAAGGTGAATTTTCTTTTATTTGTAAAAAATATTAAAAAAAAATAGAAAACTTCAGGTAGGACAAGTTATAAAAACAAAGGTTAAAAAATTTTCTTTAATTAAACCAAAATCCATATATTCAATCAATGACTCATTTGATTGGTTAGCAGTTAATAATCAGATAAAGGTTATGCTCATCCTGAAGATGTGTAGTGCATTAGAAGAATAATTTGATCATAACTTTTATTCAATTAACAGCTGAAATCGATCATCCAGAAAAACAAATCAAATTAGCCCAGATAAAATCCAAACAACAAAGTCAAGGCTAAAGCGAAAATAGGATTTTTAAAGCTTTAGCATATTATATGGAAGGGGATATTAATATTGAATAATTAAAAGAAAAATTACGAAACAATGGAAAACTTTGTGTGGTCTATTATTATTTATTATTTAATAGAAAATTAAAAAATTAAATATATATATGCACCAATGAAAATGATTGATGAATTAATTTTTAACTAAAAGGAGTTTTGGAAGTAGTAGTGGTGGTGGTGGTGGTTTTCTTTTTCTTTTGTCTGTCAAATGGTTATTATCATCACTGTCTGTAATATTTAATTAAAAACCAAAATATCAATGAAATTTTTGAGTTATATTCATATCAACACGTCTTGATGGCTTCTTAGCAGTCATCCGTGATGTCACAATGAGTGATTTTGTTATAGTGATCGACATAGCACTTTTCCATACAACAGACTTTAAAACCAAAAATGAACAAAAAAGCATGATCAAACATCCTTCATGTTTCTATGTAAACATATTTTCATAGTTTTGCTCTTTCAATCACAATCTTTTATACTTCATTAGCTTTTTTCATTCAAGAGAAATAATTATTCGAAAAAGCACATACTTTTTGCCTTTGGGTCCACCATCCTTTTCAGGGAGAAGACTCATTGAGATCTTTTTAACATTAACAGGTAGAGTATAATATTAGCTTTTGAAAAATATATATTTATTAGGCATTTTATTTTTTGGGGAAGAAATTAAAAGTGAAAAACAATATACATTATTATTTATTAATTTTATTTAAATATTTATGATTCTCTGGCATTTTTAGATTTTCTTTTAACGTGGTAATACCAGTAGTCTCTTACTCTTTTGTTAGTCCATGAACCATTTACTTT